AATCTTATGTACCTAAAAACAAGTCAGTATTATTTAACAGTTTTTGATTAAAAATATAAGAAAAAATAAAATGTTCTTAGAGTTGAAAGTAACCAAAAATATTACATTTCCAAATAGTTGTAGGAATTACTAAAGCCATCTTCAAAAGGAAATTTAAAGTATTCATAAGGATGCAGAGAGACATTTTGTTATAATAGAAATAGCATATCAAGAAGACTAAAGAAACCATGAATTATTTTACTTAATTGTAGATTTGAAAAGTTATTCAACAAAAACAGACCTACAAGACTAAATCGGCAAATCAGTAATTATTGAAGGAAATTTTAACACACTGCTATCAAAAATTGTGTAATAGTTGATGAATAAACTGTCATTGAGTCAAATAGTGTCATACTTTGTGCTCTTAAAATTTTTTGTCTCTATATTTACTTATACACAATCATGTGATAGCACATTTAAAGGAAAAAGCATATTAATGTCAATATGTTTGTGCTCATTTGTTGTGTTGCTATTGTATAAATAACATTAGGAAAGAAAAAATGTAAATATGTTAAAAATAGTAATTTTTTTAAAAGTTTTGTGGTATTAAGAATTGAACTCAAGACCTTGTGACCCTCTTGTCTTAGATTCCCAGAGTTCTGGAATTACAGGTATACACCAACATGCCAGGCTAGAAATGACAATGTGTTGATGGTGGTATTATGATTAATCTGTACCTCCTTCTTTATATCTTTTTAATTATATGAGTTTTCCCGAGTTATAATGTTTAACTTTTATAATCATTAAATTAACAAATAACACTGTTTGCATTTCAGAGGAGGAAACCAAGAGTATTTGTCCCTGCAACGCCCAGATTTTCTGTATATATGTATTTAAAAATCAAAGTGTCACAATTAATTTAGTTCTTCCTTTGCTCAATTTTTTTTTCTTGTTGGGATAGATGCTAGCCTTTGCTCTCATTAGCAGGTAATGAATATACAAGAAAGAAGAATCTTTTCCTAGCTGAGAGAGGTAGGGCACAAAGGAGCACATTGTGGTGTATGTGATAAAATACATATAATACAAAGTGGAATTTCAGCCATTTCCTAGTGAACAGCTCTGCTGCCAACAGCACATTCACGTTGTGCAATAATCACCACCATCTATTTTCGGAAAGCCTTCATCTCACAGGAATGCCCTTATGCTAACACATGCAGAAATATGCATATCTATGTTTGATAAAGAAATGAGAGGGACTCTTTCTTTGTCTTAAATACTATCTAGGGATATAAACAAATGGTTTGCTTAAGACTGGAAATAGGCAACTCCCAAGATTGCATTATGATAGGTGTCTCCTAACGTTTATTTTCATTTTGAAATTTTTTAAAAAATTATTTACTCTTTCAAAATCATTATATGATAATAGGAAGATTCAGATATTCTGAACAGTCCATTCACTGTTTCATACAAAGGTTACATTTTACATGAGTAGAAGACAGCACTGAAAGCAAGAAACTGACTTTGGTACTATGTATTGTACAGTTCTGTGACATTTGACCACATGTACATTTGTGTGACCACCAGAGAAATCAAGAATCCAAACCCTTTCATTAGAAGAAAGGCCTCCTGCACTACCTCTTGACTACCTCATCACAATTCTCAATCCCTAGAAAATGCTGAACTCTTTGCCATCTGGATAATTTGGTTACTTTGAGAATGTTATACAAATAAGATTGCATACTCTGTGACCTGTTGAGATTGGCGTTTTAGACTTCCTCTTGTGTTGACCACTAAGATATCTGTCAAAAAATTAATGTACCTGAAAGAACATATGCTAAAATGTTAAAAATGGTAATTCTTCAGTGGTGGAATCATGGTTACTCTGTGAATCCCTCTTTATGACTTCTTTAATTATATGAGTTTTCCAAGTGATCATGTAGTAACTTTTATAATCATAAAATTAATCAATAATACTATTTGCATTCAAAGGAAAATAAAGACTCTTTGCCCCTTCAAGGCTATTAGAATTTATTTTATATGTTTACTTTGAAATTATCCTCTCATGCCAGTGAGTGTTGTAGAAAGCATCACTTATAGAATGACCACCAAAGGGAAAATTAACTGTCCCTGGCAATGGAAACTTTAGCATACACATCTCTGCAGCCCAGCATTTCCAGACATTTTGCTGCAGGAGAGAAAGAGCACCAGCAGGCTGTTGCAAACAAGTGCATTCATTAGATATGTTCTCTCCCAGTCATCAGCTCTTGATAGAGGAATATATCAGAAGCATCAATTAATAAAATCAATTGATGTAAAATTAAGAACTGACCGTGTGTAGTCAATCAATGGAAGGTAAAGGGCAGCTGCTAAGCAAGGTAAGAAACCCTTGCTGTATCTAAAACCAATAATGAGGAAGCAATGCAAAAGCAGAGTCACCTAGAATTTGGTCCCAGGCCATGTTCTAGAGGGATGGAAAATTAGTTCCAGTTTAAACTAAGAAGCTCCAGTTTAAGTTAAGAGAGTTGACAAGAAGGAGTCTTAAGTTTGCCTGTGGCAGTGGAAGAAGGAAAAGCAACTTCCTAAGAAATAAGTAAGTCTAGTTTCAGTTCAGGACACAAATTTCTGCAGGTGAACTGCTCAATATATAATCAAGAAAAAATCTGAGGACATTTACTTTGAAAAGATATATTGGAAAAAACTTGAATAGTCAGCCATCTTTGTACTCTGGTTCCTAACAACTCTTTTAAAAAAAGAGTGCAAGAAATATCACTTCATAATAAAATCCATACCTCCAATCTTTCTTGGGAAGAGTCTTGGATTAGGTGACCTCAAGCTCCTATCTAACCCAAAGATTATGATTCTAAGGTATTAAATATTGACAGACAAATAACGTGAACTCAATAAATATTTGCTGAAATGAACTTAACTGAATTGAATTCAGGAAGCAAATGGGTTTATATTTTATGACCACAGTTTTTCTAATTCTCACAGTCAAACAGTTGTATGAACTTCCTTTCCTTTGAAAATCTTACATTTGCTCACCACATTTTGCCTGCTAAAATCTGTGCGGTAGAGCTCATCTTCCTAACCATATTTTAGAAGTCAAATTATCTTCAATGTTTTGTTTTTGAGTCTCTTTTCCCCAGTGTTATTTTTTCAAAACACAGAGTTTCCCTATCTCTTACATAAAAATGAATTATTTGAATTTGATTGCATATAGGATTATGAAATAATGAACACGGATTTTTGCTCAACAGTTATCTAATTTTTTTCTTACAAAGATTCTTTATGATTTATGATCCTTAATGACCTACTTATTTGAAGAAACCATGGAAGGTATCAATGAGTATTCTTCAATTGGTTAAAATATCATACATTTCTTTCACCAGTTCAGATATCTTTGTCTTTGATCCTGATTCACAGAATTTAGTGAGGAGGTGGAAAAAAGAATTGTTACAGAAGATGAATCAACAACATGATGGACAAAGGATCACAGAAGTAATGAAAAGATTTTTTTAACTTCAAAAAATAAGCCAGAAAATGTAAGGATCTTTGGACAAGGAAATGAAATCTCACTTTAGCAGAAATGCATGTGTCTAACACACACACACACACACACACACACACATACACATATATTCTGATGAGAGAAACCTATTTACTTATGATTCTGAACAATGATAATGTTCTGACAATCTTCTGAAGTAAACTCAGCAAGGCACTTGGTATTTATAGCTACTCTGGGAATATTATCAAAATAAATAATTTTTAGCATACTCAGTAGCACATTACTATTTGTAATATACACCTATTTTATTTTATGTTATCAACTTGTTTAAACTGACAAAGCATTGTAGATATTGTCAAAGGGAAGGTAATCAATATTATCAGAGTTCAGAAATAGATTTCCAGGGCATTTTGTACTTAAATTCTGCAAGAAATCAAGCAACAATAAAATTGCTTCTCTTTTTTAATATGATGAGAGAAGGCATAATTATTAATGGATCAGAAAATTAATTTTACCATGCTTGTTTTAATTTGATAAAATAATATTTATTGATTTGATAATTATATTATCCTCATGGAACTTGTTTTGATCTTCTCTATTCAGGAACTATAAATATGTTGTAGCATAATTAGGAAAAACTGAAGAGACTACTGTTGTTTCTTAAGGTTAAATATGAAGTGAGAATTTTATCTTACTTTCTAACTCACAGATTTTTAAAAATTCATTTACCTGGAATAAGACTGAAAATATTTTAACAGTTGTCTTCCTCAAAGCAATTAGAGCTTTAAAATCTTTTTCCTGTATAATTTTGTACTATAGGTATAAATGAATATCGCTAAGTTAAAATAGATTATATCCCAAATCAGCTGTCTAAAATTTGGAATGTAGTTCCCAGAAACAGTATTGTAAATGGTGTTCAGATGCCCTGGTAGTTCATGAATGTACTGATCATATATGGAGAGACTGATGACTTATAATACAAAACATATACTATACTCTTTTCAGTAAATAAAATAAAAAAGTAAAGGTTGAAATGTAATTTTACATCTAGCTTATGTACTATACTTGGATTAAATTGCTGTATTTCAAGATGTTTATCAGAGATAATTCTAAAAGGTACATGTGTCATGGTCTTTTCAAACCTAAATTTTACAATAATTACTTAGTAAATTATTTTTCTACTACTGAAGTAATACACTTTTTGGAGAGAATTTTGGAAATAAGTTAGAAAAAAAAGTCACTCAAATTTCTATTGCCTAAGTATAACATTTCTTATGACGATCGAATTTTTCTATTCCTTTGAAATAAATGACTTCCAAATTATCAAATTTAAATCAACATATATTTATTAGTGCATAATTTATGATGTTTTGTTATCTAGAACTGGCATAGATGATTTTTTGATCATATTCTCTATGAAGTTATAATCACAATGTTGGCCAAGTTCCAGTCATCTCAAGAAGCCTCAGTTGGAAAAAGGATGAGCTCCCAAAGTGAAAACCTCCACATCTCCCTGGCTGTTGGCCTGGCTATGCACTTTCTTAGTATTCGGCATCTTTAGAAGGCTGCTCACACCTGGAAATTTGACAGAATAAGAGACGTAAGAGACAGATGCAGAGTCCTACATGAAAGCCACAATGAGCTACGTTCCAAAGTGCCACGCTGTCATCTGTGCTGTATAGTATCTGTCACACAGTCTAAGCTGGGAACCACGTAGGAGGACATGAGGATTGTTGGGATTGTTGTGAGCCAATGTGAAAAGTAGTTTGGCAACGGTATGATTCTCCTAGGTCATCTTTTGGTACATTTTTAATGGTATTGGTCCATCGTAAAATATAACAAAGGCATTTTATGTCATAAGGTTATCCCATAAATATTATTTTAATGACTACAGTGCATTAGATGCTTTTGGCCTTTTGCATTGTTTTGAAACAATGTGCTATCATAAACAATCCTACAATAAAATGTTTTGTGTGAAGCTTTTCCATCTGTATTTCAGATAATTTCTTTTGGATTGCAATCTCGCTATGGGACTAATGAAAAAGTTTAACACAAACTGCCAAATTTATTTATGACTGGATTCTATTATTTAATTTACATGGAGTATTAAAATATCTGTTTCATTGTTCCTTTATCAGGGGACTTTTGATGTTTTAAAAACTAAAAGCACTAGTTTTTAAACTTCATTTTATTTCCATGTTAGTTTCCCTGTTCCTTGGTTCCTTAATCACTATCCCTACTGGTAACTATAACAATAGTGTGTGTGTGTGTGTGTGTGTGTGTGTGTGTGTGTTCCTGTGTGTGTGTCTGTGTAACTGGTAGAAAGATGAAAATATGGAGACAGAATTATGAGAATTGTTCCCCCAAGTTAAATGAAAAAGAATGAGAAGGGAAAGCTAGGAAGGATCTGAGAGGAGAAATAATGTATAACAAAGAAAATATTCCCTGAGGGTAGAAATGGAGAAAAGAAGAAGAGTAGAAATTTACTCACACACACCTCAATGGGGCCGAGCATGCTGGTTGGTGAAGGAGAGAGGCTGGGAAATACCATTTCCTGTGACTATCTCCAGGAGGCCATGTTGGCTTTCCTCACTAGACAAGATGCTGAGAGAAGAAAATATGTGAACCTTAAATTCAGAACATTTATGACCCTTCACTTTTTCCCTCAGTTCTTTTGCTTTCTTTTACTTCCTTTCAGTTCCTGACTATTAGGAAACTCATTTCCTATGATAAAATCATGACAAATTAAAAGTAATCTTGAGAAACGTGCATTCTATGTGTAAGAGTACCATCAGATAACGCAAGGAACTGAGTACCTTTTCATAGTAGGTACGCCCTCCATTGGCTTTGACCGCATTCTAACACAAATCATGAATTTGTCCAAAGTTTTCTGAGGCAACTATTTCGTAAATTATACATTTGTGATTGAAAGATATATTCTTGGATTTATTTCTTTAGTCATCATTGCAGACAAAAAAATAGAGCTGTGTTATTTGCTTACTGTAGCTTTAAGAAGTATTTTCTCCCCTTTCATTATGTGCTGGAGCTACCTTTATCTTACAGCTTATTGAAATTCATGTTTTATTAAATTAATCCACTTACATATCTTATTTCCTTCTCTAAAATGTAAGTTGTGGGCAGAACTTAATTTTATACATCTTTAGTGCTCAGATTAATTCTCAGAATTCCTCCACCATGCTTAATATATAAATATTTGTTGAGCCATTAAATGATGCAGTTGGGAATTTAAATGCCAGGTTTAATATACCTTTATAGCTATCTGCTAAGTTCTTTAGTATGAGAAATATAATAGTTGTAACTATTTTATACAGGTATTTCTGTGAGGAAAGCAAACCTGCAGATTTGTGGAAAATGATACACAGAAATATATCTGACAATGTTCTGACAGAATATACTTAACATGTAAAATGTGTTTGTCAGGGACATTATATATATTCATTCATTCATTCACTCATTCTTTGAAAAAAAGATTTTTAAGCATCTCTTTGCTGGATGTATTTGTTGACTAGGCTAAAAATTTGATTCCACTGACAGTAGGAGTTCTTTTCCTGATTCTAAGTGAAATGTGTTTTAGAAAGCAATAAACAGAATCATTGGATGTGATGGCACATGCCTGTAATCCCAGCACTTGGGAGGCAGAGGCAAAGGATCACTGTAAGTTCCAGGCCAGTTTGTGCTACACAGTGAGTTGAAGGCCAGCCTGGACTACATAGAAAAAAAAGAGGAATAAACAGCATCAACTAGCACAAAAAAGATTCTGAAGATAGTGAAAGTGATTAGAAAATTATCAAGAACTATTGAATAGGTAGGTAAAAATGAACAAAGTCTAGAGCTTCTTGGTATGAGAACATGGAGGAAGAGGCATATACAACTTTGATATTTTTGGCTTTAGACATCATGTGGATTAAGGTATCATTAACCATTTAGTAGATCAGGTAAAATAGCTGGCTAAAAAGTAAAGAAGACAAGCAGGCACTTTTACAGAATTCAAATAATTACTATTTATAAGTGATTGAACAAACAGATCTATTGGGACGTTTGGAAGTTGTCATTATGAAAATCATGACAAAGATCATGACGGATGGAGTAGAAGAAGGGAGGAATAGTGAAGGAAGGAGGTAAAAACAATGAGGAGGAGAATAAAAAAGGGAAACAAGTGGGAATATGACCAAACTTTTATGCAATTTTTTACACTTAAGGTCATCAGTGTAGCCAGGGATTTGGCTCAGTGGTTCTGCCACCTGCCTCAAAAATGCAAAGGACTGAGTTTGATCCCTGGTACCAGGAAAAAAAAAAAAAAAAAAAAGAACATCCGTACATTCTTTGGGCAAACTACTGTGACCATTGGAACCATATGGTTTAACCGATCAAAATTAAAATCTACAGTGATGTAGAATCTTGATATAGTTCTTTTTTCATATCTTAAAAAATCTACAAGATGTTTTGTTTCGTAGCCTCATGTCCACTTTTGTTTCTTAAAACTGTAGTAAAAGCTACTACTAACATGGAGTTCTCTTCCTGTGAGTCTCTGAAGATAATTTACATTGAAAAATGTCATAAACTGATTTCTTGGTGGTTTTTTTATTTTTGGTTTTTTTTTCTCAACTACTCATTATGTAGTTGAGACTAACCTGGAATTCACTATGTAGCCCAGGCTGGTCTGGAACTCACAGCAATCCCCCTGCCTCACCCTCCCAAGTGCTGGGATCACAGGCATGGGCCACCACACCCAGCTCATAAAATGATTTCTTTAGCTCCTCTCACCATCAGCTTTTATGATGAGTACAGACAACATGCAGTAATCAACCTCCTTACATTATTGAAGAACACTTGTAGATTAATTGACTTTTAAAGAAATGAGTCATCATTTTTTCTCTCCTATGTATTACAAGGATGTGTCATGACAGTCATTGATATTGCAATGAAATTCAAAGGCCTCACCTTCGCTGAGTCATATAAGTTTTGATGATCATGAAGAAAATGCAAAGAAATGGGAGTATGTCTTAAAAATGCCCTTTATGGAATAAGAGAAAGGACAGTGATTATGTTTAGAAATATGAAGTAGTTCAATAATAAGTGAAGTTTAACTAGCTGTAGAAACTCTCGCTCATGTCTGGGATTTTGTTTTAGGAATTTTAAAATGAGAAGGCAAGATTAGAATATCTTGAAGTTTCATTTAGCTATAAAATTTCACAGTAATTCAGAGCCATACAAACTCTAAGGCTAATTTAGTACTAGAAATAGCAACAAGCAAAGGGCTCTTACATCAAACAACTCTACATACAGAATCTAAGTGGCAGGAAGTACTTAATAGGGATAACTGTGCTTATCTGTTAGGCAGACTATGCCTGGTTCTATTAATTTAAACCATTTGAAATTGTCATCTATATAGGCAATTTTGTGAGTCACCTTATTATTCAAATTAATCTCATCAATAACAGCAAGCACTTACATTTTATTTTTATTTTGTGGAAGTAGAAATTGAGTAATCAACCTCAACACAGAAGTGAGTGCAATCATTATTGATAGTGAGATATTTTGAGATCTTTAAAATATAAATATAAGTACTATGCCATTAGAATTTTTGTGACTGTTTTGTGCAGTCTTTAATGTTAGATGAGGACTTTTGATTTGGTATTGGAATTCTTACTTGGTATAGAACCCATTCAGCCTGTAAAGATTCTATCCAGGAGCCATTATCTATACCTTTCAAGCAAAATCAACTAAAAGTAGAACCTGCTATTAACTACCTTTCAGTCAATTTTTTGACACTCACAGCCAATCTTTTAGCACAGATATGCTGTGGTTAACATGTTTCCAGATTAGAAATATGAACAAAGAGCTAGGTTGTATTCAAGAGAGAATTCAATGTTGTTATCCACTCCGGGACATGGGTGGCCCCGCAAGCTGAGTCTCTCTGATTCCTATTAGCAGCCTCCTAGAAGCAAGGGGTGGAATGAGGATCACGGAAATCTGCAAATATTTTGAAAAGGCTTCATCTCGAGGCTCATAGAAATGGGGTATTTATTTTCTAAGGATGAAAGAACCCAGGTAGAAGTATGGATTTATCAACAAGTATTTGTTTCTTCATGATCCAGGTTAATTCCGACTATGTATGTTATTAACATGTAAATGGAAATTATAGTGCACAATTTTTTAAAAGTTGGGAAAGCTCATTAAGATTTATTATAGGTCCCAATGTTTGTAGTCCCGGAGTTTAACGACAGATGGTGGTGTAACTCCACCAATTTTGCAGCATCTACATTCAATTTGACATTGTAACATAGATTACCCTTGATTTGACTTCGGTGAAACTAGAATATTCTCTTTTCCCTAAATCTGCCTGGGAGGAGGTCGGGGACAGACTGTACAAAAGAAGTCTGTTTATTTGCTCATCTTCAGAAAACTATAGAGAACGTGAAAAATAGGCACCTAATAATGTGTCTTTTTCTGTGTGAAAGGAAAAATATTTACCTTGTATTTAAATGTTTAGCTTGAAGCCAGTAATATAATTTAGAAGATCGTGTCTCTAACAGAAAAAAAGAAACAACTTTAAAAATTGTTCCTCATCCTCTTTTCCAGCGATCTAACAAGTCAGTTAAATTTTAAGTACAAGTAAGTCACAATAACACCGATAAAATCACTCTGAAGAAAAAAAATGTTGTTGTTTGACTCAAGATTTTGGAGCCAACGCACCTAAATGTGCGAATAACTATATTTTATAACAAACGACTAAAGATGCAGGAGATTCACAAAAGAGCCATGAACATTAAGCCAGTGTTTCTGATGTGACTCCTGCGTGCTTTGCTCTCCGTCCTCCTGGTTTAGTGAGTCTCATTTGGGGTAGTTTAATTCGTGCAAGATAGTCTGGCAGATACCATTTCAAACGAATTTATCTTTGCCCAGGATCTTAATAGAGCAGTGTTTCGGATTTTGTTGATTTGTGGTTTCATAGTAGAATAAATTGAAATCAAATAAATTTTCAGGAGGGAGCTTCGAGGTCCACATGGTGAACTCACTCACCCAGTTACCCAGTCTAACTTTTCCCTGGAACCTCTTTAAATGACCCCTGCAGACCCACGTGCTGCAAAGGAGACCTGAGCTTTGGCTCCGAGCTGCGCAGGCGACTTCAGGGACAGAATTTGGCTTTCCCTCTCTCTCCTCCACCCAGTGCTTTCGTTTAAAGGCTGCCGCGATCCAGCGAGCTGACCAGTGACTGGTGCAAAGGAAGACTCTTCGTTCGCTGTTTGCCCTTTCAGCGTTTTCCTCGGCTGCGGAAACCCGGTTTTCCTATTATTATGCTTCAACTTTTTTTGGAGCCTGTTAGCATTGAGCGCTAAACCCCGGCCGGCTCCAGCAGCAGCCTAGGCGAACAAAGCCTACAGTGTTCCGGGCCGTGCTGGGGCGGGGGTGGTAGGCTAGTTCAAGGAATTGCAAATAAATATATTTTATGACCACCTATCAACAAACTACGTGCCACCGTGGCAGCCCCTGGTAGCCGGGCGGAGTCTGCAGAGTGGTCAGGAGCGGGGGCTGGGCGGGAGGCGACCCGGGGAGAGCGAGGCCGGGGAGCCCTGGGCTTGAACTTTCACCTCTCGAACCCGGGCCCAGCCCATTGGCTGCAGCCAAGCAGTCTGGCAGGGCCGAGGCTCCTGGCAGGACCAGCTTTCTGTACTCCCTGGGCGTCCTCCCGTCGGGAAGGGCTGGTGGCCAGGGGCAAGCTGCAGGCGAGGAACAGATAATGGGGCGAAGACAAGTGGGGCCCAAGGGGGCGGCGGGCTCAGCCCGTTTAGGAAGACGCCTGGGAAGGACGCTCGCCAGTGTGTGAAGAGAACTCCTCGGACCCAGATACCTCTGGGCGCTTGGCTATTTGTACTCCTGGAAGGAAACGTCAGAGGCTGCGAATTTCACCAAAACGTGTTTTTGTGCACAGAAAAGTGAAGGGCTACCTGACCCGGATCCTCTCCAAATCTTGAGAAAGTAACCCTCTTTCCCCTCTTTCGGACCCGAATTTATCTCCCAAGTGGCCAAGAGTCCTCCCTAATCCATCTTTCCTCCTCCTCTGGACCCCTAGAAAGAAAGGGAAGTAACAGGACTGATGTGTGCAGGGGAGAAAGGAGGGAAAAGACGTGAGACGCTGCAGACCTTTTGACCGGTCTGTTACCTTTATTCTCAAATCCGGTGGAAAGATGCATCCTCCGTTTTCCAAGGATTTCGACGCCGTTTGCTCGTCTCTTTTTTTCCCTACTAGAGAGTTTCGGGTTGAGAGAGTCCAGTTTTTATTTAGGTTTGCCAGTCGAGCATAAACGCTGATGATTTCACATAACCTCATCCCCACCTTTCAGCAGTGCCAGGTAGGGCGATTAGGAGCTGGAGCTTTCTAACATCGATGGCTGCTCCTTCCTAGCTCTGACCCCACCTTGAAAAAGATTCGCCCTGTTTGTCCACTGTTCAGCCTGCATTTCGCAAAAGGCCATGTGGAAAAGATTGAGAGCACGATCCATAAGCAGAGCGTTTAAAGACTGCCCGGAGTTTAAAAACACAGAACGCAGCATATTTCAAAGTCTAACTCTACCTTGTTCCGTGTTCTTTTGGGCAGAGGCCATCTGCCTAGGACCAGCCCCATGACTTGTTGACTTAACTGGTTTCACTAGAAAACCTGACGGCTGTTTACAGATGTGGGTGCCAAGGCTGCTTCCGCCCAGGAAGAACTGTGGTTCTGAAGAGCAGGGCTGTGCCAAGTGTGTGCTAGAGCTCCAGTCTGCCCTTTAGAGAAAGGGCGTGCTGCTCTGTGAGGAAAGGGAAGACTCAAAAGACAGAAGTTAGTGCTGCTCGCCCGTCTCCTCAGTCACCACCATTCCCTCTTCTGCTGCCGCTGTTAAAGTTAGCCCTTCCTTCCTTGGGGAGGAGGGCTGGGAAGAAGCCCTGGCCCGGCCCTGTTTGCCGCCACCTCTTGGCCGCAGCTATTTGGAGGAAACTTTCAGCGCCTTTCGGAATGCCGCGCTCGGCCACCGGCTTGAGCGGAGCGACGGGCTCGGGCGGCGCGGCGAAGGCTGTCACAGCCCTGCAAGGTCGCACGGCCCGCGGGCGGGAGAGGGCAGGGAGGACAGCGCGGGAGGGACGCCGGCCTACTGCTGGGGTGGGGAAGGGGCTCAGAGCAACCCCGGTCCCGATTCTGGCCAGACAGCCCGGGGGGAGCGCCTCGCCCTCCTTCGGCCTGGTCCTCCTTCAACTCTCTGTGCTCCTCGGGCAGCCAGGCTGGTCTCCCCCGCGGATGCGCGCAGGGACCCAGGACCGAGCATCCCTCACACCGGTGCCTGGGCTTTGAGGTGCGGGCACAGAGCGGGCAGGCAGTTTGTTCTTTCCTGTCATTCCCGTTACTTTCGCCTCCCCCAGCCACTGAAAGGGTCAGCCTAAAATTCCCAGCTCCTTGCCCCTTCCTTCCAAGCCCCATCCCCGTGACCTGGGCTGCAGGACTAGGAGGAAGCCCAAGACCTCCTGGGCCCAAGTGAACCGGGAGCCAGGACAACGAAGGAGTGAGACACTCGGCCTCCCTCCACCCAGGCCGCAGAGGCGCACGCGGAGACCAGAAGGGCCAATCAGCGTTGCAGCGCGCGCGGGTCTCCCTTTCCGGCTACCAGTACTTTATACGCGCCACCGAGGGCTTTGGATCCCTTCGAGGCTTTCTGCACTTCACGTGGAATCCCCTATTTCATTTGCCAGCAGCTCCGTCTGCTGAGAGGACGTACTTTGGGGACTGCCAAGAAGCAGCAGACACAACTCGGCTTTGCCAATACAGCATACGGTTTTGTTCTCGCCTCCCTCCCCACCCCCTTCCGACTCGCCGTCTGGGGCGAGCGGCAGGAGGCGGAGCGGGAGGTGGGGAGGCGAGTGGGGGTGGGGGAAGATCGCGCGCAGCACAAACAAGTTCTCCGGCGACTTGTTTACAGAGCAGGTGGACCTGACGTCAGCCGGGAGGCTCCTCTGCAAATCACAATAGTATCTGCCCCGCGATGCCCCTCCCCTAAAGAAGTTGGGGGTCCAGGGAAGATGAGTGAAACGGGGTGGAGACAGGCATTCTACCCGGCCGGTGCCAAACCAGTCTGGGGATCAACAGTGACAATAACAACGCAAAGTAAGAAAAAACAAACAAGTGGCCCCGTGCTACCTCGGGGCCCTCGTGGCGCCCCCTCCCCACCCCGCCCCTCGGAGGAGCGGCGGCCCCGATACAGTTTGCATCGCCAACAACAC